ACCAAGTGCTTATTTAACTAATATTTGTTAATATTAATATTTGTTGTATTAACTTAAAATTTATGTCATTCACTTAGTGTACTCACTCTTTTTAGAACTGTATTTAAAATTCATTTAACCATGAAAATTAATAGATAGCAAATTCTAATGAGTGATGTCAAATAATATTCCCTAACATACTATTCATTATATATTTATTGTATGGCTTATGCTTTATGATATTAGTTGTACTCTTTTTTTCTTCTAAAATATATTTTTTGTTTTAATATTTAATTAGATCATGAGTAAAAATATATGATCGACTACTATTTCCCGTGCGTATGCACGGGTACTATACTAGTAAAATAGTAAAAATGGTACATGGACGCATTAGAGACAAAACTTACTATTGGGGCAACGTATTTGTTTTATTATCATAATATAATGACACTTTTGTCTTTATTTGGTGATAGAAAAAAGTGAAATCAATCACATGCTTCTTCATGCCCCAATTCAAAGACAGATAGATCGATGTACTGAGTATTGTATACTTCGTATCACGCAATGGTTGGATGTTCAATTTCTCTTGGTCCAAAAGGTTGAATGCCCAACCCCAAAGCCCCCCACCCCGACCCGACAAGATGGTGGGGAGGTTAATCACGATAACTCAGTCAGTAAAACGGCGGTAGGCCTTATACACGTGCGCATCAGAGATCCAGCCTTATTTTAGGTTCTATAACCTCCACACGGCCGCTGCGGGTTTCGAACCTTGATCACTTGGTCTAATTTTCCCACCACTCGACCAACTGAGCTACCCGTGCGGGTGGATGTTCAATTTCTCAATTGTACAAGAAAGTGCGTCCGAGGAAAAATCTAAAACACTTTTTTTTTACTCTGAGCGATCTGGAGGCCTTAAGTAATCAGGGTTGAAACTCAATCTATTGAGTTTCCAACGCTTTTTTCTATATCTTTAGCACATTTATCTATCTACGCGGACAATTCTGAACGTCAAAAACGCATACATCAAACATTTTTTGCATAATATAATATCTTCTCTTGAAATTCATTTATACTACATATAGTTTGTATTCGACCACAAATTTTTCTATTTACGATTGAAGTTACAATATGTGAGAAATGCTCTACAAAGTAATGAAGTATTAATAACTGCCAAACAAATTGTGGTTCGATGGCATCACTGTGACAGTCCCAAGAAAGAGGTCACATGTTCGAAACTCATTTCAGTCAAGGATGTTGGCATTTAACAGATACTATGAGAAAGGAGAAAGTATATCCAAAAAATAATCATTGGTCCAATTTTTAATTAAAGATATACAAGTATGAAGACAATAATGATCCTTGTAGGCCTAAGACATAGAACCCTAAAATCGGGAGAATCGATGCGAATCGAAACAAATTATCTGATTCGGTTCATATAACTTTGGACATCTATATTTTTGTGGATTTTATTAATAATAAAAGACTTCAAGATAGAATACAGGTTGCTTGTTTAAAATGAAATAAATTAGTTCCTCCAAATATTCTTGGTGTACACAAAATATGTATGCATTTGATACATTTGTCTGTGTACATAATAGTTGTTGCCTTATTTTGAACGAGTTGTCTGTGTACACAGACAACTAGGTGATGTACACTCTCATGTACACATTTTGTGTAGATTTTGTACACTAACCCGTGTACAGAGACAATGTTGTTTTTTCTGAACGAGTTATCTGTGCACACATCTCTCAATATCAATAGATTTTTTCTAGTTGCCCTAATTTACCCATAACAATTACTACGCCAACTGAATAGTGTGAATACATCTACTATTACATTACGTGAATATACATTTAAAAATAGATCTGGGTTTAGTCAGTTAAGACTTAAGACCCATGCGTTATACGATAATATACATTGCGGGGTATTGGTCAAAATATTCCACTTAGTTTGACAAATGGACCTAAAATCTGTAGTTTTTATACATCAATGTTTCTATTGAAACTACAATAATTTTTGAAAAGAGTCATTTACAAATAGATTACTTAAATATAAAGGCCTTGTTTGACAATCGGCTGTTAGTTGTTGGCTATTAATTGGTTCGATAGCGGTTTTAGTATAGCTGGTTGTGTTAGTTGTTTTGGTTGACTGGTTGTATTAGTTTGTTATTAACAATTATTTGGTAAGTTAACTGTAAAAATAGCTGTTAGAGTATAAAAAGACGAAAACGGACATTACTATAAATTTTAGGTATTCGTGATAGAACATCACCCGCTAGAACAAGAACATAATTAACATCATTTTTCCATTGGTTTACCTTACAAGAGCGTGAGAATATAACTTGACAGATTAGCTATTCTCCAGTCACACAGACTTTAATCGGCTGTTTGGATCTCATAAGTTGATCCAATAACCATTTACCAAACAACAATATTAACATTTAAGATGGTCAAAATCATTAATTGCAGTTAAAACAGGTAAAAAATGGCTGATCCGCCATTTACCAAACGTGCCCAAAATGTGATATTTGAGCTGGATCAACTCTTTACAAGTAGGTTGCCCATTCACTATTATTTGTTTAGAGGCGTGTCGCTATGTCACTGGTTGGTTATTATTGCTAAAATGTGGTTAAGAATATATATATATATATATATATATATATATATATATATTGTATATATAATGCTTTTAGAGGTGATAATCTTGAGAAAAGCAAAATAAAACATTAAAGCATAAAATTTGAACGGCAAATAGTATACGATGGAAATTGCATTTATGGGAAATTTGAAGTATTATTAAATGCGCAGGCCAAAAGTTACACAAGATTTCATAGATGATTAAAATATCCCTAACTAAAACTAGATTTCCTCGATCAATAACAAATCAACATAGATAATGATTGTTTTTTACTTTTGTTTACTCTCTAGGACGTTAAGTTTTGTTTACTATTGTTCATTGTTCCAAAGTTCCAAAAGGTGGAATCTCCCACCCCAGGAGCCCCCCACCCCAACCCGACAGGATGGTGGGGAGGTTAGTCACGGTGACTCAGTCAGCAGAATGGCAGTAGGCCCATGCATCTGTGCGCACCAGAGGCCCAGCCTTATTTCAGGTTTTGTGACCTCCACCCGGTCGCTTCGGGGATTCGAACCTTGGTCCATTGTTCCAAATCTCCCAGCACTCGACCAACTGAGCTACCCGTGCGGGTAAAGTTTTGTTTACTAGTATCTACCGGTTGGTTGCCAAGTAAGCAACAGATTTGATCGTTTTTTAAAAGTTCGTGGGTTTAATTAGATTTTTTTTAGTTGATGAGCTTGATTGACATTTTCAGTAGTAACCATTTGACACTTTTCCCCAAGGTAAACTTTGAAGTTAGAACTCTTAGATCTGCACTAACACCACTAAGAAATTTACTCTCTAGGACGTTAAGTTTTGTTTAGTTACATAATGAACATATGACTTGTTCATTGACTTCATTCAGTTAAAAAACTAAATAGATCAACAGTACTATAATAGTCCATCGAGACTCATACTATCACATGCTCTACTTTGACCACATTTTACTCTATTATTTTATGAAAATTATTATTTTTTAAAATATTGTTCAATTCATCTCATTACAAATTTTAAAAATCTGATTTTAATATTTTTTTACTAATAGAATTAAGATATAGATCATATAATTACGGTCAAAGATGTACGTTGATAAATGTGAAATGTTGACCGTTGTAACTAAAAAAGAACGGAGAGAGTATTAAAAAGTATATTCAACTATTTTTTAAAAATCAATTATGGGATTATTTATGTTAATATTCAAAGCGCCACATAATGACGTATTCATTCAGTAGCTTGAATCCCCCTAGCGGGGTAGAGGTGGTGTTTACATGCTCGTTAACTTCAGTTCAATTTAATGCTATCAAATAAGCCCTCGAACTTTCATAAAAAGTGTAATTAAGCTCTTTTATAAGAGATTTTGTCCGTTTTCGCCATTTGGGGTGGTTTCCGGTGGAATTTTTTGATGAAATTTTTTGAACATCTTATTCATTAAGTCTAGTTTACCCATACCAAAATTCAGCTAAAAATGCGATCGAGAAGGCAGTCAAATAATTTTTTGAAATACATTGTGCTGCCTAACTGCGCAGTTATCTTCAAAAATTCATTTGTCTGCCTTCCCGATTGATTTTTTAGCTAAAATTTGGTATGAGTAAACTAGACTTAATGAAAAAGATTATCAAAAAATTTCATCAAAAAATTCCACCGGAAACCGACCCAAATGGCGACGGCCGGACAGAACCTCCTATAAAAGGATTTATTTGTACTTTTTATGAAAGTTCGAGGACTTATTTGGTAGTTCTCCCTTATAAAAAAAGATTGAATATTTTACTCAAGTGACATATTTATTCTGCACACAAACTCAAGAGCCTCAAATATAAATGTTAATTACTCGAGATAAACAACTTAGTACGTATACACATTTTAGTCAATACAAGACGACTTAATTAATAGAAACAACTAAACATTGTTTTTTTCCTTTTTAGATAGACTATGTGTGCGTATAGTGTTTCTTATTTTCTCTTTTTTATACAAATTTAAAGAGTATGATTTTTTTTCATTTAAGTCAAGCATCTTATTTTCATTTGGATATCCTCAACTTTCAACTTATCACTCAATTTTTAATACAATCACGTAATTTTTTATTTCACACACCGTATATTATAGTAATTAGAATAAATAAATAGTTACTGTATACGATCATTTTAGTTAATTTATACATTTTTTTCTGTATATTTTATAATTGAATACTTAATACTACTAAATATTAAATATAATTTTTCCATAGTTCAATCAATTCAACCATTTTAATTAGAATTTCACCCATTTAAGTAGATTTATTTTATTTAGACCATTATTGCATTAACAAATTAGTTCTACACTTGTACTCGGTATATTATAGAAATACTTTTAGTTGAAATATTGAGACTTTAATAAATATTACAGGTGACGGTGTTAGAAATGGTTGGTGTTGAAAATTGAATTGAATGAGATCCATCCATCCATCCTTGTAATAACAAACAATTTCTCATTACTTTTTTAGAGTAATAATAAGACTGTCACTCAACTGGGTCACTTCCAAAACCTCTTGCAAAACTCCAACTAAGCTATCTCAGGAGCTTTCCTAAATTCTCAGTCAGAACTTTGATCTGCTATGAACCACTAAGGTTGAAGCTTCCATTTCAATTTTTGTTTGCAGAAACAGCAATGTGGATTCAAACTGACATGACGCTGTCAATGCTGATGTTGTTGTTCCTCGTCTGCTCTCTCCTCGGTGTCTCACCCACCGCCTCCTCAGATCTGAGCACTGACCTGGCCGCGCTGCTCTCCTTCCGCTCCGCCCTCGGCGGCCGTCCTTCATCTCTCTGGAACACCACCAGCTCCGACCCCTGCAACTGGTTCGGAGTTAAATGCGACAACGAACGCGTCACCTTCCTCCGGCTACCGGCTTCCTCCCTCTCCGGTCAGATTCCCGAGAACACTCTCTCCAAGCTTACGCGCCTCCGTACGCTTAGCCTCCGCCTCAACCGCCTCTCTGGCCCTCTCCCTTCAGACCTCGACCAATGTACGGAGCTCCGGAACCTCTACCTCCAGGGGAACCATTTCTCTGGACCTGTGCCGGCTTACATTTTTGGCTTTCACGCTCTGGTCAGGCTAAACCTTGCTAGCAATAACTTCTCCGGTGAAATCCCTTCCGGATTCAGCAATTTGACCCGTTTGCGCACCCTATATCTGGAAAACAACCACTTCTCCGGGTCCATTCCGGACCTAAACCTCCAGAATCTCGACCAGTTTAATGTCTCCTTCAACAACTTAAATGGGACGGTACCGAAGAGCCTCCGAGGGATGCCGGCGGAGGCTTTTTCTGGAAATTCACTCTGTGGGAGTCCTCTCATGCATCTATGTCCAGGGCAGACAGTTCCACCAGCCATTGCTACAGGCGGCATAGAAGTCGGTAAATCTAAACACAGGCTGTCAGGAGGAGCCATTGCAGGCATTGTTATAGGATCTGTTGTCGGATTTCTTCTATTCCTGTTTGCGTTGTTTATGCTATGTAGGAAGAGAGGTGGCAAGTACAAATCGCGTTCTATGGACGTTCCTACATTTAAGCATCCTCAGCAGGAACAGGACGTTTCTGGGGAGAAGCCAATGATTCAGAGCGAAAATGGAGATTCACATAACAGGTTTTCTGTGGATGATGTGGAGCCATTGCCCGTGAATGGGAAGGAAGAAGAGAGCAGCGGAGGTGGAGATGTTGCTAAGAAGCTTTTGTTCTTTGGGAAAAGTAATATGAAGGTGTTTGATTTGGAAGATCTGTTGAGAGCTTCTGCGGAGGTTCTAGGTAAGGGGACATTCGGAACAACTTACAAGGCTGTTTTGGAGATCGGGGCTGTAGTGGCGGTGAAAAGATTGAAAGATGTTGCCACTTCTGAGAAGGAATTCGGAGAGAAAATCCAGAGCATTGGTGCTATGGTCCATGAGAATTTGGTGCCTCTCAGGGCTTATTACTATAGCAAAGAGGAAAAGCTTCTTGTCCATGACTATTTGGCAATGGGAAGTTTGTCTGCATTTCTACATGGTAACTGTGACTCGTTCCTTCTCTTCTGCACATAGAATGATTTACTTGTTTGAGCTTTTTCAAATTCAAATGAAAGAATTGCTGTTATTTTTTGTCTAACCTTTTGCAGACTTGCATAATCTGTAAATATATCTATGCTTTTAAAACTTGGATTTGTAGACATCAATATATATTGCCGTTTGTGGAAAAGCTTTAATGTATGTGATGAAAGACCTATTTCTTCTATTATCACATTACGGTAATGTTTCTTTAATCTATGTTGGTGTCTCATACGATTGAGATTTCTTACTCAACTGTTATTACCAAGTACTCCATATTTCCATAGCCTATAGTTAAGTAGTCAATATCATGTCCAATCGCAGACGATATGACCAAAACTTGCTTTTTCTGTGCTTGATTTTGACTCAACCTTTATGTGTACTAATAGCGGAGGTTTTCTCGCAATCCTATTTATGGTAGGAGAGGTTGTTTTTATGAAGACAAGTTTTAGTGTCAACCTTGCCCCTTTAATCGTTTTCAATGCGTAATAAAGGGAATTGAGTCATTAAGTAGTTAATTAATAATATACCCAATCTTAGTATAATTCTATTTTGTCCTTGAATTTGACCTAACCCAATTAGCCTCTTCATACTAAATGCAAGACATTAGAAAGAGGATTCAATTTCACATCTAGCGAATACTCCAGTCTTAGTGTAATCCAGTTTTGGCCCCTATAAAAGTGCTGTATAAAAGTATATATTGGTCAATTCGGATCAACGTGTCTTTAAAGCTTGATTCAACCCCATTAATACTCTTCAATCCCCCAAGGATGTTTTTACTTGGTCTTAATTCAGTCCCAGACCCGACGTAAGCAGATCAAACCTCTACCACCGTAAAATACACAGAGACCACACATCAACCAGATCAATTCAGATCCGACCAGAAAAATTCAATCCAAGAAAAACATCCTTATTAGCAACAAAAAGAAACTCAGCTGCTTAAATATTACAAACATCGTTTCCCAATGTATGAGAACCAATGTATGAGAATTTTCGTCCGTAAAATCTAACGTTATTCATAACAAATTCTTGCAATAATCTTGAAAGAGTCAGGTTTTAATTGTGAGCATCCCATTGCTTTTATTGATTGCGAATATATTTAATCTTCCATAGGGAACAGGGGAGCTAGCAGGACGCCATTGAATTGGGAAATGAGGTGCAGCATTGCCCTTGGAGCTGCCCGCGGCATAGAATACTTGCATTCTCAAGGCCCCGATGTCTCTCATGGGAATATCAAGTCGTCCAATATTCTCCTAACAGAATCCTATGAATCCAGAGTCGCAGATTTCGGGCTGGCAACAATGGCTGGACAATCATCGTCCACTGCTCGAGTCATTGGGTATCGAGCACCAGAGGTAACTGAACCTCGAAGAGTCTCACAGAAGGCTGATGTCTACAGTTTTGGGGTACTGCTCCTGGAGCTCCTTACTGGAAAGGCACCCACTCATGCAATCCTGAACGAGGACGGTGTTGACCTGCCGAGGTGGGTCCAGTCCGTGGTCCGAGAGGAGTGGACCTCCGAAGTCTTTGATCTTGAACTCCTTAGGCACCAGAATGTCGAGGATGAAATGGTGCAACTGCTCCAGCTTGCCAATGATTGTGTAAAACAGCACCCCGATGTCCGGCCATCAATGCCCGAGATCACTAGGAGGATCGGGCAACTTCATCATTCAGGCGTGGCAGGACATACTACTCAGGAACATGTCACTGGAACCGAATAAGGAAACGGAACATCAACAGCAAATTTTCTTGACGCGGGTTTGCTTTTGCTATGAAAAAATGTTGTTTGCAAATCTTATTCATCATGTAGTAGTAGCAGCAGCTTTCTTTTAAAAATTTGATATTGGGGGAGGGAATATGTTCTTTGTATTTGTTCTTGTTAGGTGGATGACAGCTGATGTAATTATACTCCAGCTTTTTCCTTTTTCGAACTAACTTTGTGTGCTGTTGAGAACTTCATTGACTATGGATATTTCGCTTTCCTTTTGAGGAGGATGGGGGGGGGGGGGGGGGGGGGGGACGATGCTGGTAATGTTGCTTGAGCTTGAATCCTTGGCTCCAATATTTAATAATCCCCGAGCATGGTGAAACATGATTACTTTTGGGCACATGTTGGAAGGTTGTTAAATTAAAGAGAGAAACTGCATTGATGAGGACAACTGTAGCTAGGTGGTCGTGGGCTGGTTGTGGTCCAGTACCAGTACACTATACCAAAGGGAGGCCCAAGTCTGGATGGCAATACCGGGTCCTGCGGGTGGTGAATGGGACCGGGCTTGGCGACAGGTGGGATTATGAAAAAATTTCACTTACCCAAAAATGCATTGGGGTACGGGGATGCTACACATATCTCATCCAGTGTTCTAAAAGGTGTGAGACGTGACAAGGTGATGAGATTAAGCCTCAAACCTTTGAAGCCTAGGCAAGAATAAGAGAAGCCTAGGCAAGAATAAGAGAAGCCTAGGCGTGAAAAGACGTTTTAGATTTCTATATTAAATTAATACTACGTATTATACAGTGAATATGAGAAAATAAATGTCCAAAATATATTGAGCCTAATTTTTGTTTTGTTCAATATACGAAGTATATAATTTTTATAGGAGAATTTGAGTTTGCACCTCATGTTTTAGGTGATATTTTACTTTGCACCCCATTTTTAAATCATTAATGTATGCACTTCATTAGCCCAAAAATTGCGAAGGAGTGGGGTGCAAAGTCAAATGATTTTATAGTTAATTGAGGTGCATACATTAATGATTTTGAAAATAGGGTGCAAAGTCAAATATCACCCAAAATATGAGGTGCAAAGTCAAATATCACCCAAAACATGGGGTGCAAAGTCAAATTCTCTCATTTCTAAATGTATAAAAAGTGCAAATGCAAAATGATATATTGCTGTTTTTTACTACTCCGTATTAGATTCATATACTCCCTCCGTCCCGTTGGAATGTTCCCAGTTTGACCTACACACATATTAAGGAAATAAACTTATCAGAGGGTAAATTTTACTATTTCGACACTGTTTGGCGTTTTTTGACACTATTTGACATTGTTTTGCACTGTTTGACCCTGTTTTGATGTAGGATAACTTTCCATTTAGGGAAATGGGAACTTTCCAACGGGACATCTAAAAAAGGAAAGCGGGAACATTCCAACGGGACGGAGGGAGTATAATATCTTTATAAAAGTATTTTATTTTTAAATTTAATAAGTTTTTCTTTGCAAAAAATATTTCATCTAAAAAACTTCCGCTTTTTCACTCATAAGCACGCCTAGGCTTATACCTTTTCACGCATTTGATGGTCAACTCTTGAGTTGACCGCCTTTTTCACGTCTTTTTACGATGCGAGGCGTTTCGCCGTCGCCTCACGCCTAAACCCCACCTTTTCCTGCTTTTTAGAGCATTGACCCATCCTCACATAAGTACACACATTATGGATAAGTGAGGTTTATCAATGTGTTTCATGCGTTTGATTTCCATTATCAATAAAGCACATTTGTGAGGTTTATCTCAAATGAAAATTATTCAATCCCCAAAATTATTCAAGCTCTCAAATTCATAGTAACACGCCTCAAAGTGTATGATATTCACGTTCATTTGGGCTTGTTCGGTTCGGAGAGATAAGGGGTGGTATTTATTTTAAAAATATACGTGCAAGTGATTGTAAATAAAGTGAAGATCAAAGTCATTTTTTTCCCTCCTCTTATTTCCAAAATCCTCCACCCAAACAAGCCCCCTACCACCGATCAGACCAAAATGTTCTTTGGCAAAAAGATACTCCCTCCGTTCTTTATTATCAGTCCTCTTAAGCTTTGGCACGGGTTTTAAGAGGAAAATAATAGGGGTGGTGTAATAGGTATACTGGGTTGTGGGTAAAAGAAAAAGTAGGAAAGAGAAAGGGATAATGGTAATAAAAGTGGGGGTATAAAAGTATTTTGATTGAAAAAAACTTATCAAAAAGGGAAAGAAGGACAAATAATTAAAAACGTCCCAAAAAAGAATACGAGACAGTTAATAAAGAACGGAGGGAGGGAGTATGACAGTAGCATATATATATATATATATATATATATATATATATATATATATATATATATATATATATATATATATATATATATATATATATATATATATATATATATATATATATATATATATATATATATATATATATATATATTAACAAAATATTTACAAGATGAGCAAACGGTACATGACAGCTTACACAAGCCATAACAGGATTGTGTAAAGGATCCATAGTTTGACTTTAGACTAAATTTTCCGTTTTAAATCGAAAAAAAAACTCTTCTTTGTCAGTATCTATTGAATTTGAATAGAGGTGGACACAATTCCATATTGTCTGATTATAGTTTGAATTCGGAAATGGTTAAGTTCTGGTTACGAATTTGAAAATGATTAGATATGGTCACATATTTAATGGGTTTTTAATCCACATTCATTTATTTTAAATAATTTGGCTCGGGTTATATCCAAAATAAATCAAATAAAATAAACTACTCCCTCCGGTTCCTATTAAAGTTCTCAGTTTGACTTCACACAGATTAAGAAAATAAATTTGATTTTACTGTGGAGTGCACTGTTTGGACACTGTTTGGCACTGTTTGACACTGTTTGGACACTGTTTGGCACTGTTTTATTTCCTACAATGGAAGTGTGAATTTAAATAAGGGACATCCCAAAAAGGAAAGTGAGAACTTTAATAGGAACCGAAGGGAAAAGAGAGAACATAATAGATACCGCTCTAGCCCGAAAAAAAAAATAGACGACTGCTCTTGCAAGTTGCAACGTGCAACTCTTGTGAAGATGTCCATGAAGCCTATAGAAAAAATGGATGGGCAGTGTCAAATCATGATCGTGAGGACCAGGTCAGTTTTAGAATTTAGTTCATTTAGATAATACTCACTCCATGTATAGCATTGGATGTGTAGAATCTAGCTCACAGAGAAATCACACATCCACATCCATCCTATTATTTGATGTGCAAATGCTTCACTGTGAAATAAACCAGCAAAAGCTTTTTTGCTTTCATTGAGTAGGGGTGGATCGGTTCCGGTTCGGACCCGCACAGTAGCGGGCCGGTCCGGTTCCGGGCCGGTTGGCCCGGCCCGAGGGCCGAGTCCACTCCTACTAGGGAGGAAGATTGGGTCCTGGAGTAATCAGGGCTTAAACTCACTCCATTGAGTTTCAAACCCTTATGTGTCTAGCGGGTTTCGAACTCGAGACCTCTCACTAGACACAGTAACCTCACAACCAGCTAGGCTGGAAAGTCTGGAATGGTTGGTTCTAAGTTTACTGTGCAGCCTTGGATATTAGTCTAAAAGAGCAACTAATAAAACCAGTCATACATACAACAATAGCAAACCGTAAAAAGTGTAAATCAACTCCGCTGGACAGGAAACTATATACTATCCTCCGTTCCATAAAAGTTGCAACAATTTGACTTTCACGTTTGCCAACGCGCAACTTTGATTATAATTATATTTATTTACGTATTAGTAAACATTAAAAAAAATTAATATATTAGAAATTTACATTAATACAAATTTATTAATATTTTATACGTAGTATTTTTATTGTATATATTATTAGAAAATCGTAGTCAAAGTAACGTGTGCGAATAGTGCAGAAATTCCAATGTTGTAACTTTTATGGAACGGAGGAAGTATACGATAGGAAACGATGAAAAGTGTTGTTATATGTCAAAAGATAAGACAAGAATGGTTTGGCACTACATCTCCTACCTACGGAGTATGGACAAATACATCCAAGTATCGGGGGCGTAGCTCACATGGTAGGAAAGAGGTGTCAAAAGTGAGAAGTCTCGAGTTCAACTCCAAACAATGACTTAGAAAAGAATCCACTCTCTTTCCATCAAAGTGAGATCAAAGTTCATCTTACATCCTCCAAAATAACTATCGGGTCGGTTTCGGGAGGACCATCCCAAGGGTGTCATCCTTTTTTTGGACAAATACCTCCAAGTGAACATGCATTTCACTAAATAGCAGTCTAGCAGATGTTATTGTCATTTGGATAGCATTCCTTTAAAAAAAGACAGGCATTTCAGATTATAGAGCTAAAAGACTTCAAAGAACAAGCTAATTTGATTCGTAAAATGATTTTTATTCATAAAAGTGGTGGAATAAAACAATGGCCAAAGACTCACTGTTTTTTGGCTTGAAGATATGATGCCATGATGGAATAAAGAAAAATGGCTCATCCATGCTTCTTTGTTATGAAATTGCAGTCAATCCATGCAATTTTCGACGTGATTTTCACTATGCATCATCCGGAAATAGTCTCTCTGTGTTTTAGTACAAGAGTAAGACTACGTACATCAACTCCCCCTCCTTACCTCACCATTGGTGGGAGCCTTTGCGCCATTGGGGTAATGATGATGATGACTCGTAAAATTGATGCAATACCTACGGAGCTACAGAACATATAATTTCTAGGTTGGTTTTTCTTATTTCTACGATTATTACATGGTAAATGCACGCTTGTGCTGGACTGGTGAAAAGTCACTGAAAGGTGAAAGGCTACTGATGCAAATTGATCCGTTACAGACTTGCAGCAAACAAAATATATTTGTTCCACAAGTCTATGCTTCATAGGATAAAATAAAGCAGGCACGTAATGATACACAACTCACATACGAATGAAGGGATATATACGGGAATAAGAATGACTTCTTAAAAATCAATAAAGGGATATATACGAATGACTTCTTAAAAATCAATATTCTTGATACGCACCAATCTTGGCTGAATGATAAGAAAAAATTGTGAATGAAACCCTCAATACTCTGGTTTTGAAATTTCCATGACTTCTTCAATTCTATCTTTTTCAGGCAAAACTGACCAATTTGGAGAGTGTGCTGCCCTCAACCACCGAAAATCATCAACATTAGCCCAATTCCCAGACTCTTCAGCAAGATTTGCCTTTTCAAGATCCAGCTCAATCCCATCATACATTAAGCAGTATGGTGCAACTCTCACCCCAGTACAATCCTCAATTATAGGCCTACTCCTCACCCGAAGATAGAAATCACAATTGATTGCATGATGAATTCTAATCTGATGAGAAGCCAATACAAAGATGCAATTTTTTACTTCCTCAATCAAAACTGATGCAGTCACTGGCCCAACATAAACCTTACAATTAGCCAGCTTATGCACAAACAATGCCCTTACACACCCCAGCAATCGAACTTCACAACCTCTTAGATCTGAGAGCATGAACTCCCCAATCTTCTCCGCCCCAGCTTTTCTAAAATCCATTGTCAATGCATCATTTTCCTTGTCCTGAAAGCCAGGCGAGTCTAAAGCCCTAAACCCTAATTTTGGAGCTATCACGTTTTCAATGCTGTTGTTTTCAGATGGTGCTTCTGGAACCAAGCCATTTGATGATGCTGCACATCTATTAGTGGTTTTGTTTCGAAATGAGAACTTCTTCTTAGGTAGGACAGAAGAGCTAACCTGTTCTAGGGTTTGCTTGAGGTCAGATATTGTTTTGAGGCATGAACGGACATCATAGGAGGGAAGAAAGTATGAGCTCTCCGCAACTTCCTTTTCCAGGTTAGCAATTGAGATAGAGACATTTTCCAGTTCAGGTTTGACATTTTGGGGGTCTTGGGATTTGCAGATCCGAGATAGTTCAGACTCAATAGATTGCTTTGATTCAGAGAAATGAGAGAGGAAAGATTGTGTGGAACCTGAAGATGAGTAGGATTCTGAACTAGGCTTGCGTGCCAGCCGTGACTGATGGAGATTGGAGAGGTGTTCTAGCATTGCCACATGTTTGCGTTGGATGGCCACATCTGAATGATCACCGGTTAAGGTACTACAAGCTGCATCCAAAGGATTGTCTTCCTCCATTGATCAATAGAAAAACAAAGGAAACTGAACTCTGGCTAGATCAACATGTTATGTTCCTGATTGCCATTCCGGCGTTCCAAATGGATGAAGTTGAAAACCGAGTCACACAATCCTGTGTCAGCAGTTACACGATTAGGAGCACTATAATTGGTCGCATTTCTACCTTATTGACTGAATTGCATTAAAAATATATACATAATTGTGTTTAAGCTCATTTTTATTTTATGAAATTCTATGGTGCCTTTCCTTTTACACTTGCACTAATTAACAAATTACAATTGAATATTTCATGAGTAATGAAATGATAAAAACTGATAACATGAATTGGTGATATGCATTTTAGACATAACCGAATTAATTTGCTCATTTGATCATAATATGGATATAAGGAGTTTATGCTTAGAAACAGTTTAATTTTGTGTTCTAATATATAATCATGAAGTTCAGTAATGAGGTTCGTCGATTCCAAAAAGTGTAGCCAACCCGCTCAATGTGCATCCCTACAAACCTACATCCAGTCATGTATAGGGGTGGTCTGCAAGAGAATTTGAAATGGGCTTAATAAAAATATTATTTCAAGACCTTTATAATATCCAGATTAAACCATTTTATTAGACCTTGAAATTGTATTAAATTTATAAATTTACAAATTTTATAATAATTCACAATTTTATCTAACCAACTATAACATTAACACAAATTCCAAATTTAACTACATGAAGAAATTAAAACAGTCAATAATCATTTAAAGGTCAAGAAATCAGCTAAACACTTGATTAACAACATATAGAAACCATAAAATCGTTACATCATCACTCAAATCAATTAAACAAGAAATCCACCCATAGAATTAGAAACTAACCAACCCACAACAATCAACAACTACGGAGTATTAGAGTTAAACCAATAACAATCAACAACTACGGAGTATTAGAGTTAAACCAATAACAATCAACAACTACGGAGTATTAGAGTTAAACCAATAACAATCAACAACCAACCACTATTAGCGGGGGCAGATCTAGCTTTGGCCGTCAGGTGGGGCCTAAATTTAATTAACTAACACATGTTGCACAAAAAAAGTCAAAATGTGATATAATAAATCATAATGTCTATTTCATAAATTTTGTTTCCAAGTATAAAATAACATCCATTGTAACAAATAATCAAAGGAAAAAGTAAATATTTTAGGATTAAGAGTTTTCGTCAAAGTCAAATACAAAAAATCACAACTTTACCACTGTTCTCTACTAGTTTTCATTGACAAATATCATTTGATAATGAGATCATTGTCAATTTTCAATAAGATGTCTTTTTTTACATAAATAGTAAGTCTATTACTGAGACCGTCATCACTAATCCGGTTGCTCAAACTATCTTTCACAATATTTATAGCTGAAAATACTCTTTCAACACTAGCTGTTACAGCCGAGCCAGAAGAATCAATTCCAAAGTCAAAAATCACATTCATAATAAATTCATACTAAATGTTAAAACTAGTGAGTGGCTCACTCAAATAATCAAATGACTCGAATCGAATATAATTCGCCCAAATATGTGACAGGGCTAAACAAACGTGGTAAAGTAGCAGTTAGCAGAATTAGAAGAACAAAAAAAACTTACCTGCGAGGCGGCCAGGTGACGAGGAGCGAAAATGGCTTGCAGAGCACTGGAGGAGTCGAGCTCAAGAGAGATAAGAGGCGAGAGTGATAAGCGCCAGAGGCTACTGAGCTAGAGGCTAAGCCGACAGCCTTTCCGTCGTGCGCCGACAGTCGGATGGGAGAAGGCCGAACGGAGCACCGACTGGCGAATAGCGAAGAAGTCGAAGAATAGGTGTTTGGGTTTTTTGCCGAATCGCGAAGAGTCGATCGATGACAGCCTCTGCGCCCTGCGTCCTTCGGCTCCTTGTTGATTTGGAAACTTGGGCCATGTTTATTTTGGGCTTGGCTGATTGGGAGATGAATTCCAGAGAGACGAATTACAAGTTAAGAGCCCGTTTTGTTACATGAAAATCAGCTGATTCGATCGATTCTGCTGAAATTTATGAAATTCTGACTAGAGTGACTGCATTGGCTGATTGACTGATTCTGCTGATTTAAGGGAAAAAAATTAAAATATATTTTATTAATAAAATAAAGAAAAAATTATATGTAAAAAATAACTAAAATAGTAATCTATAATAACTTCAGTCAATACAGCTAGAAAAGTAACTTCAACCTTACTTTTCTTATTATTACATAATCCAGCGCGTGAAAACAGAAGTTACATGTTTGGTGAAAAATTGACCGATAAGCCTGATAAGCCGAAAAACGATACTACCAAACGGCCTCTAATTCTAGTGGTAATTACCCAAAGAGTCGACTTCCATGTGTCTTATGGTGACGGATCAGCCAATTTTTTGTTGTTTTGACCATGATTTGGTTTTTTGACTAGATTCATCAGCTAATAGTGTGTTTGGTTAAATGGCCTTTTCATTTGTCTTTTTATCCCAAACAGCTAAAATTTAAAAAGCTAAGAAATATAGCTTTTAGGTTTGGCCTTTCCACAATATTCGTGATCTACCCATTTATTTTTCTTCCCGTAAAATACTCCGTAGTCCTTTGCCTTTCCTGCTTACATTATTTTCTTACGTACTACACTATAACATGATTCTTTTTTCTTAGACAACAATTCTTAACTAACTTAAGTTAATATAACTATTTATTAATAAATTTAATTAGAAAAACATGAAAAAATTTAAAAACTTGTGTTTGCAATTATCATTTTTTAATACGTACTATCTCTATCCCAATTTGGTTGGCAAAGTCAACATTTTTTGGTCAACCATTGTTAAATCTATATTCAGCCTATTAATAATTAGTTTAATTTTAATAATTAAAATTTACATATTTAAAAACTACATTACAATCTATATAAAGTTGCAATATTCAAATTGAAAATTAATTAAGAATTAATATTCTAATTAAGTGAATAAAATGACACTGTTTGATCCAAAAAAGTCAAATTTACAATTCAATTTGAGACGGAAAAAATAGTAAATAATAATGGTCTAAGTAGTCGTACATTATAATAACATCAATGACAATACCCGTTAAAAATATAATTTAAATATTTATAATAGTTGTAATTTTGTATCATCATATTTAAAAAGTATAACGTGCTATGCAACCAATAAAAAAATTATGTCCTTAAAAGTCATCTTATGAATTTTCAACTGACTTTAAACAGCAATTTAACCAAACATCATTTTACAAACAACTAATATTATCAGTTGATCAAAACAGCCAACTAAATCAGTTGTCATCAATCGGCTAACAGAAACTGCTGTCAGCCAACAGGCAACAGCTAATTGCCAAACACCCCCATATATCTCTTTCATATGCCTTATATCATTTATATATCAAAACTATTATTTCTTTTCATTTTTAACTTTTAAAATTTCAACTTGGTTTTTTTATTTCATTTTTAGCCACTTTTGCAAACTTTCTCAAAATTCATTCACTTTCTCATTGTAATCTCCTTGCAACGAGGGTTAATTGTAAGAATGAACTGATCTAACCATGTTAAACATGTTCTGGACACATTCAGATCAATACGATAATTAGCGAAAGCAAGATATGGAATTACATACCTCCAGCCATTTTCTTGGATGAAGCAGCTCGTTGCCCTGCTTGTTTTGCTCTTCCAAGCCCTTCTCTTCACTCAATTACATGGTGTGTATACCGATAGTGAGGAACGGACTTAGGGGTCGAAACAAGAGCTAACCGCTGCTATTTAATTGAGTTTTGCCCATCAAAGAACTCCCAATGTGCAGCGTGAAAATTGAGAGAAGTTACCGATCTTCTCTCATTTAGTTGAGTGGGAATAGTGGGTAATCCTTATCTAATAAATGGACCAATTCAGAAACGTCTTTCCCTTTAAAATGTGTACTTTATTTACTGAATATTAATATTAAAATATTAATTAAACACTTCATAACTTACGGGAAAAACTAACATTCTCCCACTTGGTCCATTTAACACATTACCAAACTTTACAAGAGATAAAACATGTGAATCATGGAGATAATTCTCTTGCTATAAAGTATTATCATCCATGTGTTACAATATATTGAATCTCCTAAACATATGCTCTTAACTTAATGAATAAACCATATGTTTTTACTAACCCAAATAAAACAGTATTTCTCAAAACAATCATTTATGTGCACAATAAATTTGAGAATACACCAAACTCAATAAAAGTTTCATAATAAATACATTTATGAAAGTTACATCATGGTACCAAGTCCCATTTGAACTACATGATCCTAAAATTTATTTAGTGGCATGTCTTTAGTTACAGGATCAACTATCATTATTAACTCAATGTTAATGTGTTCAATGACCACTTTCTGATCTTATTGTTCTCTTATGCATTTAACGCGTTCATTCAATTGATCAAAAATGCATGCTTCTATTTTTAGTAAAATACGGGAGAAATACGTTTAATACGGGAAGTAAGAGTTTTTTTCCTTTTTAAACGGGTCGGCATTATTTTTTGTTTTAAACGTGTTTTTTGTTCAAAAAACGGTACGTGTTTTAAACGCGTTTAAAACGGGAAAAAGCTAACTAGGTCTCTAATCAATCAAGCCACCAAAATAATTTGGGCATGGGGTCAGAGTTTGTAGGTTTTTGTCTCTAGGAGGCTTCCTCCTCCACTTGTACGCACCACCCATTCCAAATTGTCCCATTTTAATTAATTAGAGTCTACAAGACATGTAGGAAAATCCCCAAGTGGATGTGTGATGTTAAATTGTTCAATCCCTATTATTACTATTATTGCTATTTCTCGTAGGTTGAGTCAAAATAGCACTTGAGTTGGTCAAACATTTTCCTTAACTTTGGTTTGCATTTTATTGGGCTTCTATAATTATTATGATGACTCAACTAAATATTTGGTAGCTCATTCTCAATATTATGGGCCCGATAAATAATTTAATTCAGGGAAAAGTACAGAAAACGTACATGTGATTTGGGCCATTTTCAGATAGGGGTATGTGTTTCATTTTCTAACAAAGTGGGGCATGTGTTTCAATTCCGTTATCATAGCAGGGGCATGGCGTCTAACGACGTTAGAAAAATTAACCCCGATTTTAAAAAGTCTCCGAAAAATTAAAAGAAAAATACCGGGAGATGCGTCTCGTCAAGGAGATCAACAAACTATCTTTATTTTTTTGTTTCCAGCCACCATATCTCCAGAAATGGCAGAAAGTCCACCAGAAAGTTGATATTAGCAAATTTGTTTTTAAAAGATAATCCCAATAGAGCTGAAAAATCCAAAGAGAATGATAGTTTCTTGATCTCCTTGATGAGGCGCACCTCCCAGTATTTTTCTTTTAATTTTTCGGAGACTTTTTAAAATCGGGGTTAATTTTTCTAACAACGTTAGACGCCATACCCCTGCTATGATAACGGAATTGAAACACATGCCCCACTTTATTAGAAAATGAAACACATGCCCCTATCTGAAAATGACTCAAACCACATATACGTTTTCTGTACTTTTCCTTTTAATTAATCATTCATTAATTAAATCTATCATCCTTTTACACACAATTATTGTATAGGAAATTGAAATACATATTGAATTTTAATTTCAAATACATCCGGGTGCGGTGTCACAAATAAACCTCAACATGCATCTACATTTCATGAAAGATGTGTTCACAATATTACATAAAAAAACTTCATCCGGAAGAACCTCAAACGGAGGCTGCATTGTGAAATAGTTAGGACCATTCATCTAACATAAAATGTTTAGAATGACCATTTGTAAAGTTCTGTATTCCTTGTAATATACTCATTTTATATTATATCCTAATAAATGTAAGATTGTTGTGGTAAGTACTCTTGGACATACCACTTATGAGGTCCCAACAGCTTTTACTCTCCTTGATTGTCTCACCTCCCTGATTTAATTTAGAGCTTGTTTGGTAATTTTGTGTTTCAGCTTACCACGCTTATCAATCAATTTTTTTATCAAGCACGTAATTTTTTATTTCACGCGTCGATTTGTGTAATAGTAGGAAAAGTATGGTTGAGACTGAAGTTAATGTAGAGGTCTATTTTAGCTATTTTACATATAATTTTTTCTTTATTTTATTAATAAAATATATTTCAAATATCATATTTTCATGAATCAGCAGAATCAACCAATTCAGCCCCTTCAACCAGAATTTCATAAATTTTGGCAGAATCAACAGATTCAACATGTTTTAGTATTACCTAATCGGCACTTAGGGGCCGTTCAGAGCATAAAAATAGGCCGATGAGCCTTAAAGTGCATAAAAATCGCCACACACCACTCCAACTTGCTACTTGGGTTGATTTTTCATATCAACTGAAAAAGAAGTGTCCAGTTACTCTTTCGGTTAATATTTACTATTCTACCGTTAGCAATTGCAAAGTCCTTTTACCCCCACACGTGAATGGGAAACTGCTATCAGCTTGCATGTATCCGAAGGTCACCCCACGCCCTTTAGTTGAAAACTAGGCTGCTCACTTGCTTTGGCTTCTGTTAATTTGGGTTTTCATTATTTTGGTCGAGGATAACTCGACTTCCATATTTTCTATTCGTTTGAATCAGTCTTCGTTCTTCTTATGCATAATGCAAAATTTCCCCTCTCAAATGGCATTCGTAAATATATATTTTTGTTTTTATGTTTTAAATTGATCTCATTTTATAAAGCTCTTGGTTCTAGGTTGTAGAAATTTGATGAAATTTGGCCTGCTTTTCTTTTCTCTATTTTTTGGTTTTTAGTAGTGGAAAAATGTCATAAGCGGGTTAAGGAAATTTTGGCCATTTTGAACTGATGTGCATTGGATATTTGGATGTGTGTTTCCACGAAGAAAGGGTGCATAGCAATTCACGATGCAAAACTATTCACACCGAGATTCATGAAGTTGCACATTTCTATATAAGATAATGCATAGTTTGCAATAACATAAACAATTCACTTCATTTACAATAATGACACAACAATTTTCTTCATGATAGTGCATATTTCAATTTGAGGAACACATGATTCTTAAATCTAACGTTTCAGACTCGTTTTATTTCTTGCATTAGATCACGTTTTCATTTGATACAAACATATGGAATTTTAATTCAAATGAAAATGAATCTAGAGCGTTGCATTTGAGAATTCTACATTAAAAATATTCTCAAATAGGCTCATAATCAATATAATTTAGGTCGAGTTGATCTTTCTTGTTCGATTTGGTTCCTTATTTGGAGCGGACTAGAATCTGCTCATCCAAAGCAATCACTCATCATTCCATCATTTTCCCATAAATGCTCGAGTTTCGTGTATCGTACAATTGGTTGTACGGATTGCATCGTACAACCGATGACAATTTCATAATTTTGGTGAAAATCACGGCTACTCTTAAATGAGCATTAATGCAATTTTGATGAACATCAAATCTATGCTTTTGAGTATTGGGATGTCTTCACTAGGACTGAAATTTGCTGGTCTGGAGAATTAATTTCAATATGTGAATCTAATGTAGTACTACCTTCATTCCTTAAAACTTTGCCAAGTTTGACCGGCATAGAGAATAATAAAGTAAAAACTGTTTGTTTGAGATTTGTGCAGAGGAGAGAGAAATAACGTGAACCACAAAATAATTGATTAAAAGGGAAAGTGACAAAGTTTTTGGGAACGTACCAAAAAGGAAAGTTGACGAATTTTTAAGATACGGAGGGAGTATGATACTTTAGAAATTTGCACTGATATAACATTTTAAAATGAACATAAAACCGGTACCAAATGAGCATACATAATTTACAAATTGAGTTTCAAAAAATTCAAAAGCTCATTTGTGTATGCTCATTCATTTTAGGTGTTATACTCCTTTCAGATTAACATAAAACTCATTTTTATAATATGACGGATGTAATAGATTTATTTTAAAAAATGGAGGAAGCAGGTGAGAAATGAGCAAGGAGGGGGGTGGGTGGGCTGTGAAGAATAGGAATCACAACAAGTCCACTAAGAAGTGGCAGAGATGGGAGGCAGACGGCCAAGCATTGCAATCGCCACTGTGTCGGTCAATTGATATATGGGCAGCTTGGGCCGTTTGAGGCGAATTGGAGAGTTGGGCACTAGACCGCTTGGTAGTCTGCATTCCGCGTTCGTGAGTTCGTCCAATCGATTGTCGACTTATCGTCCTTCATTATCTTCGTCGATGAGTTACAATGTTGCAGATTTGACGTTCGGAGATTTAATTACAAAAATGTCCGAATGTTCAGTATACTAGTTCTACGTTATAATTTGGGATAGATACTCTCGTATCTACCATAATCACTGTTCACTTCCCCTACAAGCCCTCTGAGCGGGGCCGGCCCGGAGTATGGGCACCAAGCCCACTAGCACAGACCCCAATGTTTTTGAAGGGCTCAAAGTATTATACCAGCCCAGGTCCAAGGCTAATAAACAGCTCAACACCAGAACGGAAGCGGGAGTGAGCGTCCAGTCCATCTGCAGCTCTGCGACAAACCCGTCCGAGTGAGGAGTAGCGTAGGCGCCTCTTTTACCGCCATCCCGCCACCGCTGCCCGCCTCCAGATCCAGCAGTTCAGCCGTCCAGTCCATCTGCAGCTCTGCGCCTCTGCACTCTTAGACGCTGCGTCTATGCGGCTCGCCAACCGCCCAGGCCCTCAGCCAGTCTGCCCCTCACGGCCTCACGCCTCCTTTGCTATTCGGTATTCCGTACTTTAAATAATTTTCTGAATCTCTTTTTAATTGCTACAGTATTTATTTTGTTATTTATTTATTGAAGTTATCAAGTCATCCAATCTATGTAGCACAGAACTCTTGGGAAAGAGTACGTTTTCGTTTCGGAAACTCTTGAGAAACTCTCGAAACAAGCCCTTTTTGAGTAAAGATTGACGTTTCTGGGTTCCTTTTTTTCACTATTTTCGTGTTTCCGTGCAACATAGCATCCAATTGATTATGATTGTATTTAACCATTAAGAATTTCGGTAGGATTCACTCTATTACAATTAAGAAATTGTTGGAGGATTCAATTGATAAAGTAGTCCTCCGTATCTAATTAGTTTATCCATTCGCTTTTCACGGAGTTTTAGATAATTAATGTATACTTAATAAAAGGTAAGAGGTTTTTGGTACTGTAGCGTTACGTAGAGGTAATGTAGCTTCTTTTTGAGTAAGATTCTTTCCAAAAAAGGAAAGGAAACAATTATTTCGATACACACAAAAAGGAAAGTGTGACAATTAAATAGATACAGAGCGAGTATAATTTATAAGCCAGTAGTATAATTGTTGCACATGACACAAATTCTTCTAATCTACTCCGTATGTTATGTTTTACAAATTAAAATTTTGAGGCAAGATAGATTTACTTTTAAGAAAATGTGATACATGTATAATATGATAAAAGAGGAACGCATATAAGTTGTTATACAAAAAAATCATTACATAACAAAAAAATACTCTTTTTGAAAAAATTGTAAGCCCACGAACATTGGGAACAAATTGAAGTGCATCATTGTTACGCTTTTTCTAAAATACTCAAATACGCCTTTTAAATAAAAATATGATTAAAATTATTATGTGCTTAATTTCATAATCAATACACTAAGAATGAAATGATAATAATAATACAGAGTAATAATAATAATAATAACAATAATAACAATAATAATGATAGTTACTACAACTCCCTAAAAATTACTAATGTTGTACAACAGGCCATATTTTATTTGCCATCTTTATTTTGATGGCGAGAGGCTCAAGAGAGTGAACAACAGAGATGTATTTGGTTAATAAATACTTTTATTTTTATTTCTATTTTTATTAGTAACTTGTATTTTAACACAAATTAATTATGTTGGAACTTAGAAAGGAAGGCCCATTTTTTGTTGTTGCACAGGGTCCCCATTTTCTCAAGACCAGCTCTGCCTCTGAGGTTTACTGTTCACTTATGAGTCACAAGTTTTCTTCAAGCATGATATTCCATCGAAACTGATCATACGTGGACAACGCTTCAAATGCTAGTTTCATCTTCATGGCCTCCAGAAGTCTATTAACAATCCTCCGCCGTCGAGGAGGCGACTTGGCCTTACCTTTGAAGTGTGCTCCTCACCTCCCACGCTCTTCTCCCTTCTCAACCGCTGCCCCTGCCTTCTCTACTGTCCTTCAACATCAGCCTCCCGGTATGTGTGTCTTTTTGTACAGAGTTTTTAATTTCGAATATAAGATCTTAGCTTTCATCATTATATGAGGTAATTAGGATACTGATATTGAATTGTCTTTTGTTGATGTTCTGATCAGGGAATGATAAACGATCAACATGGTCCAATGTGTTTCTTTTTGTACCGGGAGCTATCACGTTTGGCTTGGGCACTTGGCAGATCTTCCGAAGACAAGAAAAGGTTAGTCCAACTTATTGGGTGCTTCTTCATTTAAATAATCCTATTGTCATATATTTGAATACTATGTTTGAATTTATAGGACCCTATTAGCTAAAAGAAGCACAATACCACTATACCAGGCTCTTTCCCTTGATTAATCAGCTTTCTGGTCTATAAGTAGTGCAATAGAAGAAACAGTTCGATATTTGGTGATAGCTATTGTGGTTAACATTCTTACAGGTTGAAATGCTGGAGTACAGGCAAAATAGATTAGCAATGGAACCTCTAAAGTGCAATGAGGTTGCACTTTCAAGTGAAGATTTGAATTGTCTGGAGTTCAGGAAGGTGATATGTAGAGGGGTTTATGATGACAAAAAGTCAGTATTTGTGGGGCCTCGTTCCAGAAGCATTTCAGGGGTGACAGAAAATGGCTACTATATTGTTACTCCTCTTAAGCCAGTCTCCAATGACCCTGTCGGGAGGTAGAGTGAAACATACTGAATATTGATGCTCCATTTCTCTGGGTAGTTGTAATTCATTGTTTCTTGCTTCTTCTTTTCATTGTGCCAAGGATCAGATATGTTTGTGGGTAGTGACCTCCATTCGTGGTTGAGCAAAAATCACAAATATTTTCTCTGTCATTTTAATAACTTTTTCTTCTGCTCTGGTGAAACAAACAGTGATGCCATATAGCTTCTTGATGAAAATTGCGTTATTTTCAAATTCTGTGTTTCTTTCTAGATCATGGTCTGATGGTTAAAATGAGAAATAATTGGAGTCACAACGCAATATGCTAGTTATGTGACACTAATTCATATCATTCCATGGATCAAGTCTGCTGTGATCTTCTTCTTTTCTGTTTCAAAAATGAAATAACAGAAACCATAAATGCGAGAACAACTGCAATGTTAAGTAATGCACGGCATTATATCTTTTCTTCCTGCATATCTTTTTCATTATTTCTATGCATTTTTAACAGCAGTCGATCACCAATTCTCGTCAATCGAGGATGGGTCCCACGCAGTTGGAGAGACAAGTCTCTTGAAGTATCAGAAAATGATACACAGCAGCAGCCATCTAGTGCAGTAGCACTTTCAGTTCCAGAAAATGAAAAGAGTTCATGGTGGAGAATTTGGTCAAAGAAGCCCAAGTATATTGAGGTAGGTCATTTATTCTTATATATGTCTTGCAACCTTATTAGTACAGATATATAATAATATGAACGCTAGATAATAATGCTCTTTGCTGTATGAACAGGAAAAAGTTCAACCTGTAGCAGCCATTGTAGAAGTTGTTGGAGTTATACGTGGAAGTGAAAAGCCTAGCATATTTGTTCCCGCAAATGATCCAAAATCCAACCAATGGTTTTATGTTGACACTCCAGCAATTGCACGTGCTTGTGGGCTTCCTGAGAACACTCTGTACATTGAAGACATCAATGATAATGTTGATCCTGGCAATCCATACCCCATTCCAAAGGATTCTAACACATTATTTCGCAGCTCTGTAATGCCTCAAGACCATCTTAACTATACACTGACATGGTATTTCCCCTATTTCCTTATTGCTTTCCACATAAATCAAGTGATGTGTTCCTGCTTTTGGGTTAACACGTTGATAAGCCAATGCTGTATGCAAACTATGCATGTAAACCTGAAATGACAACACTGTTAGGTAGCTCACCACTCACCAGTGCGGAAATGAACATAAAAAACGAGAATTAGTACTCTTTCCCTGATTTCCATCCCCGAATATGTGTCCTGGACTAATGGTTTTGAAGTATTTATAATGCTTGTCAAGTACTGATAGATCTTTGGTAATTAAGTTCCTTTTATTGATAGGTCCTAGGCAACTAAGGATTCTTCCTATTATTCTTTAGTGTCTGTTTATTGTTCGCCTCTTATTCACTTTTGAATATCTCAAATATGTGACACTGTGAATACACATTCTTCAATGGTTACAAGTCGATTCCCAAAGTGCACCTTCTTTCTTCATTTATTTTCTCTGTTTTCCTTGTATACTTAAATATTCAAACCATTTTTTGTTTAATAAAACATTTGGTATAATCCACGCACACATTTCTATTTACTTATTTTAAACTAAATATAAAAAAAAGTTGAATTCAGAATATCTCGGGTCATGGTTCACCATGAGGACCAAGCATATTCAAAGGAGATAGTTGTTTTTTTTTGTTTTACTAGAAGTGCTGCCTTAACCTTATTCCAGAATTTTAAAAATATTTTGCAGGTATTCTCTGTCAGCTGCTATCACATTCATGGCTTTCAAAAGACTAAATCCAAAGAAAGGGCGCAGATAGCAATTCCTATGCAGGCACGTTAATAGTTTGACTTAAAAGCGATCAATTAAGCATCAACATTCCTGTTTATGATATTCCAAACCATGACACTCATGAATCACATAAGTAATCATTTGTTCCTTTCAAACGGAGAAGTTTTTTGTAGAAGCTGTCAGATTCAAGATTTTAGTACCTATTTCCAGTCTGAATAAACCAGTATTACATGCATTGAGTTGCTGATATCATCCAAATTATGTGGATGTAGCCCCAGTGGAAAAGTGGAAGTGCATTGGCGACATACTCCTGGATTTGCATTTTTTGTCAATTTTTGCCCTACTTCTGATGAAGCAAGTTCTCTATCAAACTTCATGCGACTTGCACTGTTGATTGTTAACAAATAACAAGTGTGTTTGGTTTTAGAGATTAAGAAGAATGGGCAGAGGAAAATGGCATCTGACTTCTTAAGAATAATCAAATTGATGTTATAATCCCTATTTTTTTTAAAGTTTAACATATCGGTGTGTTTTACATCTTGCACGGGCTTAATTTTTAAAGAAAATGGTGACATGAATAAAAAATTATACGAGCAATTGTTAAGAAAATATAGAAAGCTTCATCTGTTGTTGAGGTGGAGTGGTGGGCAATGTTATGGTTCTTAACCAGAAGCAGAAGTAGATATATGGTTCTTGGTTCTATCACTTGTACCTAGCAGGCCACTATATGTTTTGTAGCTTCCATATATTTATTTCTACACCCTAATGTATTTGAATATGTTGTGGTGTGAGCTGTGTGTGCAGTGTATTACTCGAGTGTCTTCTACTACCTTTCTAACAACTCAAAATTGCCTTTGTTATATTGTCAGTCCAAAAGACTCATTTCGAGTGTCGAAGAAAACCATCCATCTTCCTGTGAGAATTGTCAAAGACTTATTCTCTGACCCGTGCGTCACGAGCACACTCACTCAAACTTATGCTAGTCAGCCTCATTCATGTGGAAACTAGGACACCGATCGTGTAGAAACTCGTACAAATGCTTTATTGCTTTCAAGCTTTCGATCGTACAAATGAGCCAGCCATGAGGGGTATTTATACTTGTCCTCCTCCTCGATGGACGGCTTAGATCTACTTGATTTAATGGCTATAATTTAATTCTAGAGTATCCTATACAACTCTATGATATTCTAGAGTATTCTACTCTACTCTATAGTCTATACAAGTATACAAGTATCTACATGAGTCTAGAATATTCTCTAAGCCTCCAGAAATCCGTCCCTCTCTTGGCAAGTTCTAGACTCCACCTGGTCACTTGGTCATGAGTATGTCGCGGCCTATTTATGTGCCATGCCGCGGCCTATTACTCTTTTATGCCGCGACAGTCAGGAGAGTCGTGACAGAATTCATGTGAGAATTCTACCGACCCCTTTCTGAGTGCCTTCTTTGTGAAGTGAAGTTTGTAATGAGTTGAGATTAGGTAGAGTGGTCTTGCTCCCTTTGTATAGGGTTGTACATTTGTACAAGACGGAAACAGAACTAATTCTCAGGCAACTTGAGCTAAAATTCTGGTGAGCGAAGTCGATCCCTAACAATTGGTGTATCTTCTCGCGAGTGAAGTCGATCCCTAACAATTAGTATATCCTAGAGATGCAAACGAGCCGAGCTCAAACATGGATATGCTTGAGCTTGATAAAAATTCACGAGTTCGAGCTCAAGCTTGGACGAGCTAAATAATTCAGGCTCGAGCTCGGGTTGAGTTTTTGCTAATTATTTTTTATAAGTTTGAACGCGAATAAGATGCTCAAATAAATCTTTTATACTCTATGTGTTCTTTTTTGTTTAGGCAAATTTGACTTTTCAAGTCAACTTTGAGTAATTATATATTTATGCACATAAGTATTGATAATATAAAGATGATATAAAAATATTATCATAGAAGTATAAAATTATTAAATTTTACATAAATACACTAGTTAAAATAATTGGTAAAAATTTACTAACAGGAAAAACACACAGTATCATAACAGGAAAAGTCAAAGATACTATATATGAAGGGACGATTTTTTTACAATTTTCCATACTCTGCCAAAACACACAGTATCATAAGAACATCTCCAATGCTTGGGTGCATTGGTGCTTATGTGGCTAATAAATGGAGAAGGTTCAGACTAGGAATGGACTCGGGCCGGTTCGGGCCCGGCCGGGCCTCGGTTCTAGGAAGGCAGGCCCGGAACCGGCCCGGATAACCTCGGGTCCGGTTCGGTTCGGGTCACCCGCCCGATTCACGGGCCGGGCCTATTTAATTTTTTTTAATTATTATATAATTAGAATAAATCTTATTACAATTACAATATATTACATTCGAATTGAAGTATATTTATTTCAAATAAGAAGTACAGTTGAGAATTAGGATGAATTTAAAAAATGTAATACATTTTGTAATAAAAAATCAATCGGACTCTCCGCCTTCGGTTGTTTCCTCCATAAAGTGGCGGGAGGGAGTGATGGTAATTTCTTGAGTTCTTCGTTGGGCTTTCAACCAATCGTGAAAGCAAACTAGTGTCTCAAGAGAGTTCGGGCTCAACCTCGTTCTAAAATCGGTTAGGACGTTGCCGGCCGCACTGAATTCTTGTTCCACGGCAATGGTTGATATCGGCATTGCTAGTACTTGCTTAGCCATCTTTGATAAAATCGGGAATGTTCTTTCATTTTCCTTCCACCACTTAAGAACGTCAAAGTCATCACCAACTTCATAATCAACATTCAATGTTAGATATAAAGAAAGCTCGTTACCTGAGCTTTGTTCAGTAGCGGGAGTTGCTCTACTTTTTTTCAAAAGAGAACCAAAAGCGGATTTTAAAAGTGATTTTCCTTTAGATGAAGAAGATGTTCGTTGCATGGGAGGGGGTGCATTACCATATTGTGCATGAAATTCATTATACAATTGATGAAATAAATTACTAACCTCGTTGAATTCTTGTTTAGGGTCGATGGGATTATCATCGAACTCTTGAGTTGGAAAAAAAGAAGCATAATAGTAATCTATACAATTTGCCAAGTAAGGAAGTTTATAACGAGGATCAAGAACAAATGCAATACCATATATATGCGGAATATGTGAATAATATTTTAAAAACTTTTGTTTCATGAAATCACAAAAATAACTAACGTAAGCGGCGTCGGAAAATTCACAAAAAGCGCCGGCGAGATTAACAGCTTCAACAAAAAATTCGTTTGCGGTAGGTTTATAAACATGACTAAAAGTTAGAGTTGCGTTATTAAAATATGCCAAAACATTAACAATTTTTTCACAAGTGTCGATGTCAGCCGGGTTTATAATATAGTTACAAGTTTGTCTTAAAAAAGCTGGAAAATGATCTTTATATCTAACAAGTACTTGAATTAAATTATAAGTACTATTCCAACGAATAGACAAATCTTTAGGAAAAGCACAATAATTCACACGTCTATCCTTCAAATATTGCCGCCATTGCATTTTTAGTGGAGTGTTAGCCCAAATCAATTTAATTCCCCCCTTCACTACCTCCCAAGCATTTCCTAATGCCGCTAAGCCATCTTGTACACACAAATTTAGAATATGACATGCACAACGTTGATGAAAAAATCTACCCATCAATGTAGAAGCACCACACAATTCACGTAATCTAGGTATAACAGCAGTATTATTACTAGCATTATCAAAACCTACAGCAAACACCTTATCAATCAAATTATACTCAATTAAAATACGTTCAATGAGAATATAAATATTATCAGCAGTGTGACGATCATTGAATTCACGAAAAGCAAGAACACGTTTATGCATATTCCAATCATCATCAATATAATGTGCAGTTAGACCCAAATAATATAAATGATGATAAGTATCCTCCCATATATCGCTACAAATACTAACACGTCCATCAAAGTTTGCGAAAAATATTTGTAATTTTTCTTTTTCCAAGTTATATTGCCTTATAACTTCTTTTTTAATCGTTTTGCGACTATAATTTCTAAATTGAGGATTTAAAGTACCTTGAGCATAATAATCTCTTAAAGCAAGACTTTCGGAAAAAATAAAGGGTAAATTTTCTTCAACAATTAAATGAGACATACCAGTCAAATGTTTTTTATCATCATAGGAAAAATTACCAAAGGGTTGAGAATTTGCAAACCTTGATATTTGTGTTTGCTTCCCCTTTCCTTTGTCTATTTTCGCATACTCCACAAAGTGGGCGGACTGAAGATGCCTTTTGAGACTCCCGTATCCGCCAGAAATTCCCAAGCTAAACTCTTTCTTGCAATGATTGCAACTTGCGTACCATTTTTCGGTTTTTTCGTCTTTCCTTTTTGTATAATTGTTTTCAATAATAGCAGATTTAGATTTCTTACCAATTTTGGTTGTAGTCGTTGAAGGGCCCTCGTCCTCTTGCTCATCATCCGGAGTCCCGTCGCCCCCCGCGTCCTCCTCCCCATCGTCATCCTCGAGCTCCTCTTCATCGATGGTTGTCGGGAATTGTTGTTCTTGTGCAAAACGTGGATCATTTTGGGACAATAGGTGTTGTAGTTCCTCGTCGGACATCATCATACCATCTCGCCGTTGGTAATCCGTTTCAAAATCATCTCGACTTTGAAAAGAAGACTCGGCCCGCGCTTTACCTTTGCCTTTGCGTGAAGTAGATCGAGTCGATGCAATCTCCCTCTTGCGGTTGCGTTGGAGATTACCCACATCTACAGAATGTCTACCACGCTCCATCTTTAAAATTGAACAAATATTAGCAATTAACTAATATGAGAAATGTAAAAATTAACTAGTTTTGTTATTTTAATGAGATATGTAGCAATTAACTAATATGGGAAATGTAAAAATTAACTAGTTTTTTTTACTTTAATGAGATATGTAGCAATTAACTAATATGAGAAATGTAAAATTGTAGCAATTAACTAATTAACTAATATGAGAAATGTAAAAATTAACTAGTTTTTTTTTACTTTAATGAGATATGTAGCAATTAACTAATATGAGAAATGTAAAATTGTAGCAATTAACTAATTAACTAATATGAGAAATGTAAAAATTAACTAGTTTTTTTTACTTTAATGAGATATGTAGCAATTAACTAATATGAGAAATGTAAAATTGTAGCAATTAACTAATTAACTAATATGAGAAATGTAAAAATGTAGCAATTAACTAATTAACTAATATGAGAAATGCACAAATGTAGCAATTAACTAATATGAGAAATGTAAAAATGTAGCAATTAACTAATTAACTAATATGAGAAATGTAAAAATGTAGCAATTAACTAATTAACTAATATGAGAAATGTAAAAATGTAGCAATTAACTAATTAACTAATATGAGAAATGTACAAATGTAGCAATTAACTAATATGAGAAATGTAAAAATGTAGCAATTAACTAATTAACTAATATGAGAAATGTAACAATTAAGTAGTTTAACTAATATTAATATGACAAATGAAACAATTAACTTTAACTACTTTAACTAATATTAATATGACAAATGAAACAATTAAGTAATTAAATAGATAAACGAGAAGTGTATATATAAATCAAATGTATAACTATATATAGTATATATAAATATATAATGTGTAAATATATTATAAGTAATATATAATATAATGTATAACTATATATAGTATATATAAATATATAATGTGTAAATATATTATAAGTAATATATAATATAATGTATAACAATATATAGTATATAATATAATGCGTAAAGAATTATAATATGAATGTGTATAAGTATATATTTATAAGTAGATAATTAATATTATAATATATAAGTAGATATAATAATTATATAAATTATATATATGTAGAAAGAATTTGGAGAAGATGAAGAATGAAGATGATTGAATATGAGAGATTAAGAGAATAGAGAATTTAGATTTTAGAGAGTAGGAAGAGTTGTAGAAGAAGAGGTGTAAAAAATGTATAGAAAATAGGAGTATAAATAGGTTTTTTTTTGTATACCCCACCCCACCCCCCTAACCCCCCAGACCCCCCCCCCTCCTATGCTCCCAACGGCTATAGAGCCGTTTGGGAGGTCTCCCAACGGCTAGTAGAGCCTTCAAATTTTTAATTTTTTTTTTTGTGACCGTTGAGGCCCGGACCGGTTCACCAAATTATAAGCCCGGGCCCGAACCGCTACATGACCGGGCCGGGTGGCCCGAACCGTGACCTAACCGACAAACCGGGCCGGTCCGGGCCCGCACAGTAGCGGGCCGGTCCGGTTCCGGGCCGGTTGGCCCGGCCCGAGTCCACCACTAGTTCAGACCAAATATGAGCAAGAAGGGTAGGTGCATTTGAATGATGCTCCAGTGCGGAAGGGAAAAAGAAAATAAAACATGAAAAGTTGATGAAAGAGAAAAGAAAAGCTTGGTATGCTGCTTGGATAGTATGTCTGAGGGTGACACCGAGGGTTTCAATGTAGACCCTTTGGTGGACCGTGTGCTTTGTCATGTCAACCCTTGGGAGTCCATTTATATTACCATTGGAGAGGACATATTATTATAGAAAGTGTATTTGCTTAGTTGGAATCACAATCCACCCGAGCATTGGAGTTGCCCTAATGAGCAAATTATGTGAGCCTTTGTTCTACTCGTAGTCTCTCACTAGCCGAGAGCATGAGACTAGCCAACATAATAATAGCATAATAATATGGTCTACGGGTACACATTATGTTTATTTAATTGTAAAATACTTAGATGGATAATGTAATAATTTATTAGAGCATAAAGACTAATCAAATGATTATGAAAGAGCATTATAAATAATATTTGATATATATATATATATATATATATATATATATATATATATATATATATATATATATATATATATATATATATATATATATATAACCAAGTATACGGAGTATAAGTTAATGCAGAATAAGATTAGTTTTAATCCACTCAAATGTAGATTTGAGTACACAAGTAATTTTTCATAACGTTTCTAGTTAGAAATTAAGAAATCGCACTAAGCAAACACTTGGTGGGAATTGATATATGACTATTCTTATCGATTAACTTTTTTTCTTACCAAGTAAACAAAAATATACTACGTACTATATAAGAAAGGAATTGAGAGTAATGTACACATTATTAACTATTAACAATAAAGACCAAACTTAATCTGAAGAAAGCTCACTAATCAACCCAAATTAAGACATAATTGTAAGCATGTAGTCAAAAATCAAATCTCAAAATGGGTTTATTATGTAGATGATGAATACTTGACATGGAAACATTGTATCTCCGAAACATTAAAAAACTTGAGTGATCGGTAACCGATTGAGATCATCTGCCCTGCGGCAGAGTCACCAGAGTGCCTTGCCAGTAGGGAGTCACCGAATGGGAGAAGAGAAACCGCACCTCGAACGGTTTCCAAAAGCCAGGCACTATGCCTTGCTCTAAAGCAAGATAGAGGTTCCGGATCCACCGGTGACCACCAGACAGTATCCAACATTTGAGCTTGGTACTATCTCCAAAATCCATTGCATTTGATGTCCTTGGATTAATGAAATCTAAAAATATAAAAGGGAAAACGACTATCACAATTTTATGATATAGGGATTAGGGAGTGATACAATTACAATATTACATAACCCAATTGTTGCTTGGATTTTAAAACAATTGGACACATCTTAAGACATCAAACTTTACGAGTAAGAAAAAGAATTTCATACTCCGTATCATTCAAGAAACTAAAAGAGGATAAGGACACAAGAAACAAATAAATGATGAACACTACACAAAGGTATGTAAAACTAAGCCATTTTGGGCTACACAAATGCAACAAAAAAAAGCTCGAAAAGCCTAGCTAAAATCCTCTGTATTATTATAGCTCATAGGCATGAGATAGGCCTGGCCTGAAGGGGGGAATTTACTAGGAGGTAAGGGCGAAGGTTTGTACTAGCGTTTTGAAACTTTTTCTTATAGAAAAAGGCTGATGTACAAGTCATTATTTTGTTGCACTTGTAAATTTTAAAGGAGAATATTAGGAATATATTGAAGTTACTGTCTTTGTCTATTAAAACTTTATGATCTTTCCTTGTGAAGGAGAGAATTTACTTATGTAACCGAAGTAAAATCATTATATGGGGAATTTACGAGGAGGTAAGGGCGAGGGGTCATATGAACGATGAAATCTCTATGTGTCGGTTTTGTCAGTAGTCCATTTCACACGTTGTTATGGTCTATTTATTAAGTTATCCCACACCGGTTACATATAGAAATACGAACCAACATACATACATACACACACACATATATATAGTCTTAAATTATTCATTCTGATGGGTTGACCTTTTAGAACTGAACTTCAAGTCTTAACATGATATCGGAGTCGGATCCGATTGTGGTTTAATTTAATTGTTGTTTCACACTCATAAATAAGGGTAGCTCATTAGGGTATGTTTGACCCATTTATACTCTCTGATAGTGTCCAATCAGGTTCGGAGTGCGGGTGTGTGTTAAAGTATTGCCTCACATCGGATTGATTTGAGATGTTTCACATTGCTTGCGTATAGAAATACAAATTACATAAAAAGAATCAGACTAGTCCTTATAAGGATGCTTTTAATTGGATTAGAATTTTCTGGTCTGGTCTAATTTTGTATGTTTAAGACTGATCCAATTAGTATTTTCACCTTTCTCATTAATATTCTTGAATCTTGACTATAATATCCTTTAGTTACTACTTTTCTCATTAATCCTATCGACCACAACAACCTCTAAATTTAAGTCCTTCCAATTACATACTACATAGGTCGTATCACTCGTATGGACATTTGGGTTATATTAGAGCATCTCCAATAGAGATGTGAATTGTGGAGCAATAATGTGGACACATCACCACTTAGACAAGTTATTAAGAAGATGTGTGGCTTACTAAATAGACGATTAAACTAAAATTCGTTCTCCAATGCACCTGTGAGTTTTTATAATAAACTTCTCTAATTTGGCTGCCGGAAAACCAAAACTACCTTGCTTTCCTTTGTATCCCAATTTTCAATCCCAGCACAAAGAGTCAAAGATATGATAAAAACGTAACTTCAATAAGATCAATAATTGGCCACCACAACAAGCATAAAAAATCCTATGACCCCTCTTCTCTCCCTACTCCTCTTCTTGATATCACCACTATGTTATTGTCAACTTCCATGGCAGCGGCAGCGGCTACCGTTAATTCCGCCACAACTTATCTTCACTCCTGCTAACAAGGACTAGGTTGGAGCCGCCAATTTATGCACCAAAGAGGACGGCGGCGGCCTTCAGCTCAGAGTACGGCGTGGTGACCATGACTATGATTTATGAAGATCTGCCATATACTTCCCTCGTGTGCGATCTCTCTAAACTACTCAATACGAAGGATTACAGTTTGGGTTGAAGCCGGTGACAGTTGGAGAAGTAGACTGTAAAATCTCACAGGGGAGGAGATGGGTTTTCCGGCAGCACTATTTTTCTATTTAGGATTACTTGTATTGCTGCCAAATAAAATACTCCGTAGAATTGAAATAAAATTGGATTGAGATAATAAGTTGTTGAGTCATGCGACACGCTCTCTAGAATTAGAAGTTCAAACTCACGGTGTGCGTATTTTAATATGGACATTCGCGTTGGGAGTATTTTTACATCTGCCTCAATTTTATTGTCGTGGCAATGCATTTCCTAGAGTCCACAGCACCGTTGATGATGCTCTTATACCACAACTTATAATTCTAAAAACTGTTTGTAAACATAAAATTGCTGATGCTTGCTGTTTCCCAATTCATTCATTTTATACCATTTCATCTTCCCCCTTTTTGTTATCCATTAGTAAGATATCCTTATCTACTACCCAAAATATTATCAGAGAAAACCCTTGATCAAAACACTAGTTACACTCTCATGTTTTCCCTCGCTCTAAAAAAGTTCGTCAAATTGACTTTTCTTGATCAATGACAATCAACTTTGACTAATGATAATTTTTTGGTACGAAATTATTTTAAATATAAAAAATAAATCAAAATGTTCCTTATTCAAAATGTTTTCAGAAAGTATAAAACTTATAAATTATATATAAATATAATAAATAAAAATTATTGTCCAAAGTTTACCATTATTAACCAAGAAAGTCAATATGACAAACCTTTTCACTAAGGCTATACATGTTTGGAAAAAATGAGTTGCCATTCAAGTCTATTGTATGAATCTAGAAAACGTTGTTGGGACTAAAATGTTAGTTGAACACAATAAACTTATTTGACCACACATTTGAACTAAGAATGAAAAATATAAGATTACCAAAACAACAAATGTGCCAATAGAAAGAAAATAAAACTTGAATATGTCAGTAAAGTTTCAAACGAACTGATTAATTTTAGACTCACGAAAAATCAATCTTTCATTTAGGGTATGTTTGACACAAGTAGCTGAAAAGATACTTAGGAGACCTATCAAATAAGCTCTCGAACTTTAATAAAAAGGGCAAATAAGCCCTTTTATACGAGGCTCTTCCCGGCCGTCGCCATTTGGGGCGGTTTCCGGTGGAATTTTTTAGTGAATTTTGTTGAGCATGTTTTCATTAAGTCTAGTTTACTTATACCAAATTTCAGCTAAACATTCAATCGGGAAGACAGTTAAATGAATTTTTGAAGATAACTGCGCAGTAGGCAGCGCAATATATTTCAGAAAATCATTTGACTGCCTTCTAGATTGAATTTTTAGCTAAAATTTGGTATGCCTAAACTAGACTTAATGAAAAAGATGCTCAAAAAGTTTCATAAAAAAATTCCACCGGAAACCGCTCCAAATGACGACAGCCGAAAAAAACCTCCGGTAAAAGGGTTTATTTGCACTTTTTATGAATGTTCGAGGGCTTATTTGATAGTTCTCCCAAGATACTTTTATGAACTTTTTAGTAGCTTTTAGTGACTGAAAAGACCTTAAAAAAAGGCAGTAGCTATTTGGTAAAAAGCCGACTGTTTGATTTAGCTATGTTTGGTATACAAGCTGTTAGGATTAAATGATATTAAAAGCTACGGATTTATCTGAGACGCTACTCACTGTAGCATTTCAAAACACACATTTTATTTTTATAAAAGCTCTTAAAAATTGGCGTGACAAACATACACCTAGAAGCTTTTAAGGACTTTTTAAATAATACAAAAGCTATAAAGCAGGAACTTATGCTCACCAAACGTAGCCTTAAACTGATCGAGCTACATGTAAATTAATCGTTTGGATTTACCAAATTTCACATTAGTTTAAATTGAAATGACCACAAAAGCACAACTTAAGTTTGACGCAATGTTTCAAGTGAGATAAATATGAACAAATGTGGCACCACCGCACCATATAACCACAAATATTGGGAATGGGTAACAACAGTAATCAATGTAGAAATATAATTGATGAACTATACTAATCACACTTTGGTCAACTCATCAAAGTAAATGTGGTGATTGCTGAATCATTAAACACGAAACCACAAAAAATGAAGAGTGGAGTAATAAAAGGCTAATTAATTACTACGTTATGAAACTAATTATCTGACTTAGCCCGCTCCATCACCAATGCGAATCCCTGAAAGCGACAGCACGAGAATTTACACAAAGCGTACCTCTCCGCCTCATCCGCCGCCGACTCTCCGTCCGCTTCTGCAGGCGGCAATACTCTCCCGTCGGCGAATAAAGTCCGTCCGTTCCTCCGGTGTGCCTCCACGACGACGCCGTTGAACTCCTCCGTGCCGCCGCCGCCGCCGTAAAACGCAACATCTCCGAACCTCCGCTCTGCCTCGAGGAATTCCCCCAGCGAAGCAGGCTTAAAGTCACCGTCGTCCCTGCAGAACCTCCACCACCTCCGCCTTCTCCAGCGCGGATGCATCTCCTCCTCCGAGGCCGCCACGGCTGCCACTCTAATGCTCTTCTTCTGCGCCTTCTTACTCCTCCTCATGGCGGCGCCGTCATCTCTAGATGCCTCGGCTGCGCTATGCCGGTGATGAGACTGTGACGGAGCTCTGAATGCCAACGCCTGAAACGTGACTCCCATCAACGTCCCCAAGGTAATACTCCGATCATGGAAAAACGAACCAGTAGACTGCGCAGACATAACAATATTCAGATATAAAATCAAACACTGAAATTTAATTCCTCCTCCGCGAATATATCAAAATACGAAAAATTGAAGTCAACAGCTATGATTATTCACCTCAGTGTCGAGATCGGAAGAAGAAATTGAAGAAATGGTGGGCGATGAGGGCGGCGGAAGCAGATAATTTGTTGGATCTAACATTGTCCTGAATTTTGTTGAAAAACTTAGAGCTGATAATTAAGTGGGAGAAGAGTTGGGTGAAGATGGGAGAAATGAGGCGGTGATTCACATGAATGAATGAATATGGTGTGGGTTTGGGGAGTAGGAGTACGAGAGGCTGTTTAAGGGAAGGAAGAGACGGCCATAGGCAGTCATAGCTCATTCCCCAATCCAAATGGAAGTACACCCACCCACCGATCTAACGTAATGATCCATGGACTAAATTCCATCGCAAACAACTTGTGTGAAATACAGTAACTTGTGAGTGAGATTTTAACTATTCTCTTCCTTCCTATTATAGCTTCCAACTTTTTTCATTTAAATTAAAACTCCCACTTTGCCTTTTTTATAAAGAATTTCTGATTCACAACATTTCTCTCTCCTCTGTACAACTCTCCATCACACAATATTCATTATCTTAAATTGTGTGTCAAACCTATTTGGAAGTTATAATAGGAACAGAGCTAGTACAAAATAGGTGCTATATGTTTGTACTCACTTTTGTACCATTTTTGTACTCACCCCTATTTTGGTCGTGCACACAGGCAATTCGTTAAGAATAAGGCAGCATTTTGTCTGCGTTTGTCTGTGTACATAGACAAAATAAGGGGTACAAATGTGTGTACAAGAATGAGTACAACAAGAACTCCTTCAACTAAGTCTCTCATTCCACTACCATTGAGCTCTCTGTATTCCACGATTTGGATTAATAGGTCAAATAAGTCTTTTTATTACTTTCAATTCGTCACTTAAGCTTCTTGTATTAAAAAAGTATCATATAAATATGTTTACTTCTAAAACACAACCAATCAAGTCATTTAACTTGCTATAATAGGTTATTTTTGTAAGTTAAATTAGGAATATTGATAAATCTTACAAAAAATTCATAAAAATTTGAATAAATAATCTAATAATAATATAAAAAAAAGTATAAATGTAAAAATAGATAAAATTTTGAAAACATTAAAATAAAATAAAAATAAAAACTGAAACTGGAAAAATAAAGTGAAAAAAAATAAAAAACCTTTTAAATAGATGTAGAATATACACATATTTTTAAAAATTAAAAAATATTGACTTTGATATTCTGAAAACTTTCACAATTTTTGTATACAATTCTTCAAATTTTAACAATTTTTTAGAGTTTTTAAATATTAAAAACTTGCTATTACAGGTTAAAAACTGATTAAATGGTTAAATTGATCAATTTTGTATAGTAGGGTACTTATATGATACTTTTTTACTACAGTGGTTTAAGTGACAGATTTGATATAACAAGACTTATTTGACCTTTTTTTTCTAAACTTTTAATTGAAAAATGACATAATTATTTAGATAATAATTAAAGAAGTTAATTCGAGTATATTTTCAGAAGTGATTTTGATCAGTATATAACATATTGAGGTCATTGATGATAACCGTGATATTATACATGTATTATTTTTAGGCTGTTTTATTTGAATTGTTTTCAGTTCCAAATTGAACCAAATCAGACCAGATCAATCAAGAATTGCACCCCATATTGTTGTCCAAATTGGACTTTGCACCTCGTTTTTAAAAAAACTTTGGTTTTGCACCCCAACCCCATATTAAAAGACAAAAATGCTCTCGATTAGGAATATGTTGATGGCCAACAGAATTGTTAATGGAGGGACATTTTTGTCATTTCACGTGTTGTTCGGGTGCAAAAACAAAATTTTTAAAAACGGGGTGCAAAGTCCAATTTGGACAATAAAATGGGGTGCAAACCCAATTATCCCAATTTTAAAAGGTAGGGTTAATAGAGTGGGAAGGAGAAAAATGTGATGGAGTGGAGAATAAAAGTGGTGGGGTCTACTGCTAAAAATAGAAGTGGGACATTTTTTTATACAACCAAAAAGGGAAGGTGGGATGGTTATTGTGATAAATTACTTAATTGATCACAATAATTACTTAATTGAAAAGAGCTACTATCCAAGAGAAAGAAAGAATGACACCAATATTACTTCATCACTTTTATTGGATAAATATATGACCAAAATTCAATTAGACAAAATGTTAGTAAAACCATCTTACGTTCAAATCCTTTCCGTCTCTCGCGTCCTTTTCGCTCAAATCGTTTTTGCTCAAGTCTAGAAGCTCCACCAGCCACATCCTGTATGTCTCCCTACTAATCCATGGCCGGTGTCACCATTGTTTTCGTTCGCTTCCGTGATGCCTCGTCGCTGCCATGGCGAGAAAGCTCTTCGACAACAAAGATGACATCTGTGTTGCGGCGAGCTCCATCGATTGACTGATGGCGATGAGACTCATCAACGGCGACGATGAGACTCCATTTTCAGTGACTCCAACCTCAACAAAAATGACGAGATTGAATTAGTAGGCTACTAGATCTAGTTCTTCTTCTCCTTCCTCTAGTCATGCAATTTATTCAAATTTATTTCGGTGGCTTGGTTTTAGATATGCAATTAAGCTAAATCTATAGATCTATAGCGGTGGCCGGTTGGGACGGAGGTTGGGCAGGGGCTGGGAGGGGTTGGGGAGGGGGCTGGTGGTTGGGGAGGGGATGGGGGAGGGGACTTGTGGGATGGGGAGGGGTCGGTAGGTTGATAAGGGGTTAGGAGGGGGTATGGGGTGGGGGAGGGGACTGGTGTGCTGGGGAGGGGTCAGTGTGGGCACTGAGATGACGGCGGCTGTCAACGGTGGTGGTTGTTGGGTGTGTGCGCAGGACTGAGTGCGAGTGTGGGAGTCGGGGTGGTGGCTGATCAGTCGTGGTATCCACCCCGACAATTTTGATTGAGCGGAAATAGTTAGTGACATGTTTTCCGGCGATAGTGACATGTTTTCCGGCGAGGAGAGGGTGCCGTTCCAGGGGAGAAGGGTCGAGGCGTCACTGTGGAGGCGGCACTGTGACGACGTCACTATGACGGTGTTTCACGATAATAGTGACATGTTATATGGCAACATTGACATTTAAAAGTGACATAAATATCTGATAGCGACAAATAACAGTGACATAAAAAAACTGGTACTGATATAAAAAATACAGTGATATTATGTTTTTCCAAATATGTGACCTTTTTAGTCACATTTGTGTCCTTTTAAAAATGGTCACATTTTTTGAAATCATTTTTATGTTGATAATATTCAAGGAAAAAGCCTCAAAAGAAATCATGCATACCTAGTAAGGACTATATAAAGTCCAACAAGCAATAACTATTTTAATAGGCAATCCGGAAGGATGATGATGTAAAATTAAAGATCCAGGAAAAATAGAAAAATATTATTTGTACACAACTATTATACCTATCAATGTATTTTGTTGTCTGTGAATTCCGTTCACATACGTGAATTTTCAGATAAAAAAGTCTCTCACATTTATGAGTATAAGAATCGGTATAAGAGTAAGTATATATAGTAGCGCAAAAACAAAAATGATGTTTGTACCTATCCTATACTCACTTTTATATCCATCGTGTTTGTGATTTTTTTTTGTACGGATAAAATAAGACATATTTTATCCCAAAAAAAGCTTTTCATACGTATAAAGGTGAGTACCTATTGAGGCAAAAAAAAAAAAAAATACCTGACAATCCGACAGTACCCTACTACCCACGTGTATCCTTTACATTTCACAGTAAGATTTTCATTTTAAAAAAAGATGACACCTATAATCCGACAGTACCAACTGGATGGTAAATTACGCTATAATCCCAATTTGCTACCTTCATCAATCACTGTGACATTCACTGTGAGCTCATTCTTTTTGGCACGCCTCTGTAAAAACCTCAGAGAAGGCTGTGTATTTGGAAACGATGGCTTCTGCGAAAGTGGTTGGGTTTGCTGGCTTGGATGATATCAGCTTGGAATTGGCTTATTCTCTTCTTAGTTCTGGCTATTCCATCCAAGCATATGAGGTCTGCGTTTTTCTTCTTCAAGTTTTTCTCTTTTTCTCCTAAATGGGGGTTTGTGATTTTATCTGGTTTCGGTTGTGGGTTTTTATATAAAGAAATGTAAGCATAGTATCTATGAGCAAAGTTCACTCATTGACTAAACAAGTAAGATTTTACCTACTCGTTTTTAACCAAACTGAGTTTGACGGTTGTGGGTATGTTTTGGTAGTTAGAGGGACTGATTATTTGGGAAACGTTGATGAAAGAATTGCGTAAAAATTGACTGTTTTCTTTGATCAAGCTCACATCTGAAGCTCCCAAAAAGAATAGGCTGAATTATTGATTTATTTCTATTTCTCAATTTCTTGATGCTGGTATAGCAATTGTTTCCAGGACTTGAAGTCATGTTGTTATTCCATCCCTGCACATGTACAATCAGAAAATGCTAAGTTGCCTTTTGCTTTGTGCATGCGGCCAGCATATAGAAACCCATAAAACACTTCTAGTCTTCAACGGTCTAGCCTGATAAAATCCGGATTTCTTTGCTGTGCCATATCCTTACAATCTTACGGGATGAAGTTCCTAGATTTTATAGTCCTTTCAATATCTATACAATAATGGTCGATCCATGTACAATAATTTTCTATTATGTCCCCAGAAAACAATGATGTGCACACATCATCAATATTTGTTCTCAACATGGTTTTATGTCAGGCATTCAGTCCTTTGATCAACAAGTTTTCAAAACTGGGCGGTAAAGTATGTGACAACCTAACTGAGGCAGGGGAAGGTGAGATGGCATGTTTTTGTTTATGTAGTTCATTAATGCTTTTTTTTCTTTATTTTCAGTTATTTCCCCCTCATAACTTTAATGCAACCAATAAACAATAAATTATAACTTGTTCATAGTGTTTCCTTCAATAAGGAGTGCGCACTATTATTGTTTATTTTGATATACATGCCACATACCTTTAAATGAGAATTGCACACAGCACACCAGTATCATTTTTTATGCCATACTTAAATTTTTTTTGTTTATGTCATTTCTCTTTTCATTACCAATTCTAGTAAACGGGGAGTACAAGTTTTTTTATTTTTTGACAAATTTTTTCTCTTCACCATGTGGCTCAAGAGATGCACTTAAGTAGAACACTAGTGATAATTTTTTCTGGCCTTAAATTCATGTCTTGTACCTTTATATGTGTTACTCTAAGTAAAATATACGGAGTAGTATTTGGAGGGCAAATTTAGCACCATTGAAGATAAGGACGAACATGCTTTAAATTAGATAGAGTTACTGGTGTGTCGCAGAGAATTTGAGATCTATTATACCCCATCAGGTTCACTTTCACT